CGAAAACACGATAATTAAAGCAAATGTATGAATCTGCGAACAGATAAGAGTACTACAAGAGAGAACGTTATTAATAATAAAAAAACTTGAGGAGAATTTTTTGCGCTCATAATAAAACATATAAATTGAAGATCAGACTATTTTTCAATAATAAAGCAGATCAACTGAATATCTTAGCGTTCATAACGAGTACTCAGCAAGCGAAAAATTTTAAAACAAACGAACCGATGCCTGGACATGTGTTTTGCATAATAAATTTTTAATAAACATATTCTTTATAGAGTCTATTCTTGTCTAACAAATTATTTATCTTCAGGATTTAGAACGGATTAACCTTATAAATAATTATGAGTTATGGCTTAGTAATGGCTTAGTTGATTTTAAATACATCAACTTTTTTTACTTACATTGTTACTTTAAAACGCATTGTTTGTAACTTATTAGCATTTTTATATTAAGTTAAAATAATTAATCAAAATAGAATTATTACGATTTGTTTACAAAGTAAAATAAGAAAAATAAACAATTTTGCTAGCAGATGTTTTTTCGTCTTTCTACCAATATTCTTTCCTCGCATGGAATTCTGAGGTCAAAATAATAAAGGTTTTCTTATAAAAGATTAATTTTTCATTATTTTATTATTTCAGAAATTAAACCTACGATTTTAAGAAGTTAATTATGCAAAAACTATATATTGCTCTGCATAATTAACATTTAACTCAAATAAGTCAATACAATTTTAACATTACTTTTAATTTAGTTTTGTTTATATAACTTTTAACTTTAAATATTTAAATTTTAAATAAAAACTTTTAATTTTAATATTTTCAACATTTAAACTTAATTAAAAAGATATATATAACTTTAAGATACAAGGACATTCTATATATATTTATTCTATAAAGAAAACTGAGTATTCTTATTTAAAAAATAAAACGACAAAAGTGGGATACTTCACGTTAGGATCACGTCCAGGCATTGATATTAATCAGTAGCAAAAATATGGCAACGTTTTTCCCTCGATGAGTCTCAGGACGCTTTCATTCGATGTCCATTAGGAAAAAGTAATCTTCCGAAAATTATTAAACAACAAATTCTCCTGTTGGATACAAATGCATTGCAAAATTCATTGAAACAAAAAACATGCTGCAATCTTGCCGTCGTTGATTGTACTTTCACCATACGCGAGATTGTTTCCTATCATATTTCCCATTTTTATCAAACTAATCCCGGACGCAGATTAAAAAATATCAGGGATGAAATTCAGCCAGAAATTGTCAATCGAGCGCAGAAAAGGTGCTCCCGGCGATGACGGGGGCGCCGCTCACGGAAGCAACGCTGAAACTTCATCGGTCAACGCTTATATACAATAAATAGTTAACCTTTATATCTTTAACTAAGTTCACGAGCCGGCGATCTAAATAGAACTGAAAGGTTGCGGTGGTGCAGCAACCGCCGCGCGAGAAGAATTACCGCGAGTCAACTGAATTCTCGTCATTCTTATTCGGGGATCTGCAAAGAGCACAGAGAAGCCGGATAATTAGGCCGAATTAACAGTCGCGCCGTCACTGCAGTTGACCCTAAATATCAGCGTGTTAAGTAAATTTTCATCTTCCCGTCGTAGCTAAAGATGAGATAAAGAGTTTAATCTAATCTAGCCGAACACGATAAACCACGAGACGCACGTTTACGATTTTGCCTCGCGCATCTCGTTTGCATTTATTTCTCGAAATTGTTGACGAATGTGTACATATATAGTCGGCAAAATGCGACACTTTCCAATTTCATGAGTTTTATAGAACGCTGAAAATCGTCTGACCATCTTGGCGATTTTCGTCTATTCTAGAATACATAGAAAAGAAACGTGTTGCAATTTTTTCCAACCATTTGACGTTACAATTAGAGTTACTGAGGCACTTCTTGCATTTAATCTATGCGGTCGAAAATCGCAGGAAATCTTATGTTGAAGAGAGAATTGGTAAAAAAAATTAAGTTTCAGAATTGTACAAGTTTTATTGTGCAAACTACAATCGAGTCAAATTAAATAAAAATCGAGTTAGACCTGAAAAGGGAAATGAGCTATTCTAGTGAGGTAAAAATTCACTTAATTCAATTTCCAGTTGTAAAGTTAAGTTACTCAGACGATGAATACAATCAATAATGTATTGGAACAACTTTATGATTAAGTTTCGTCAAGTTTTGAGCTTCTTTTAAAGAATATCAAAATATTGTTGAAAGAATTAAGTCAGTTGGTTCGCAATATAAAAACCATGAAATTGACTTCATTTAACTCGACTCGAGTTTTCTCTACAATGCAGTAAAGTGAGTCTGCAGTAAAGTGCAGTACTGAGTCTTCTTTTACAATGCAGTAAAGTGTATATTTATCTGCAATCTAGAGACAACGCAGAGCGCTAAATTATACTCTTTAATATTTTATTCTTCATATTTAATATAAATTATATGACATCTATATAAATTATCTATCGTAAGAATTATATATAATTAAATATTTAATTATACAAATTCTATATTAATTATATAATTATATAACTATATATAAAAGCACTAAATATAAATTATATTTATATAATTTATATTTATATAATTTAATTCATACATTTATATTTATATATTTAATATAAATTTAATATAAATATTTATTGGGAGTACAAATAAGTCTCCGCCGTTTGACAAAAGATGGCCCCACCAGTAAGTTATGGTTGAAATTGTCAGATGTAAAACGTCATATCGTAAGGTTGGACATCTGGCAACACCATAACCTTGAAATATTAGCGATTTTGTATCAGCATCACATAATTTTTTTCGTGCGAAAATGTCGAGTTTTGAGCCGAATAAGCGTCATTTGCGGGAACTTTTGATTTACTTCTTTAATTTGAAGAAATCTGCAGCTGAAGCGCATCGATTGCTTGTAGAGGCATATGGTGAGGTTGCTTTAAGTGAGAGAAGTTATCGTGAGTGGTATCAAAAGTTTAAGAACGGTGAGTTTGACGTCGAAGACAAAGAACGCAGCGGAAGGCCGAAAGTGTACGAAGACGCGGAATTGGAAGCATTATTGGAGGAAGATTCGTGCCAAACGCAAGAAGAACTTGCACTTATATTAGGAGTGACTCAACAAGCAATTTCACATTGTTTAAAATCGTTGGGAATGATTCAAAAGCAAGGAAATTGGGTTCCATATGAACTGAAGCCGAGAAACGTTGAATGCCGATTTTGCACATGTGAAATGCTGCTTGTCAGACATAAACGAAAGGGTTTTTGCATCATATAATCACTGGTGATGAAAAATGGATCCACTACGATAATCCAAAGAAGAGGAAATCATGGGGACCACGTGGCCATGTTTCAACATCGACAGCCAAGCCAAATATTCATGGAAAAAAACTCATGTTGTGTATTTGGTGGGATCAGCTTGGTGTCGTGTATTATGAGTTGCTCAAACCGAACGAAACCATTACTGGGGCTCTCTACCGAACACAATTGATGAGATTGAGCCGAGCACTCAGAGAAAGACGCGCTCACTACTACTCCAGACACGACAAAATTATTCTCCTGCATGATAATGCTCGTCCACATGTTGCGGTGCCGGTCAAAACCTATTTGGAAACACTCAATTGGGAAGTTTTACCCCATCCGCCGTATTCACCAGACATTGCTCCCTCTGACTATCACTTGTTTCGATCGATGATGCATGGCCTGTCTGAGCAGCACTTCACATTATATGAAGATACCAAAAATTGGGTCGATTCGTGGATAACCTCAAAAGAGGGAGCGTTCTTCCGACGCAGATCCGTATGCTGCCAGAAAGATGGGAAAAAGTAGTGGCTAGCGATGAACAATACTTTGAATAAAACATAAGGTACCGTTCTTTCATAATAAATGTCCAATTTTTGATAAAAACGGCGGAGACTTATTTGTACTCCCAATAATATAAATATTTAATATAAATATTTAATATAAATTTAATTTAATTAT